ATGGAACATGATATTTACTTAATATCCTAATGATTTTTGGCATAAAAGAAAAATTGATAATTTTGACACATACAGTGTTTTTTTGTCTATTGCTCCAAATATACCCCAGCGACTTAAGACTGGTTTTGTGCTCCAGGGTCACATATTTAATTCCTATTCTTTTTATCTTCTTTAAGAATTACAAGGTAATGCTCTCTCTCTCTTATAGTACCACCGCAATTTAATGAAGCTTTTTTCACCCTAACTTCCCATAATCCAATATATATTCAGAATTTTAAAAGGTATAATAACTGTAAATGCATTAATACAACCATTTATTGAACAAGGTGATTTTACAGATCAACTATATATATATATATATATATATATATATATAGCAACAGCTCCACACAGGGCTTTCACAAGGAATTCTGGACCATGTGAATGTTTAAAGTTTAAAGTTATTTGGCAGAAGCATGCACAATCTTTGCCACAGCTGGGTTTTGGGTCACCCTAAACCTGTGGGCCATGAGGATTTGTCACACATTACCCCTAACTTTACTAACAACTGCACCAACAGCTACACCAACAGCTCCACCAACAAATACACCAACAGCTGCACCAGCAGGGCCACCGATAAGTCCACAAGCTGCACCAACAGCCCCACCAATACACATACCGATAAATTCACCAGCAACCATATTTCGACCAAGTGCAAAAGTTGATAGACGCAAAGTAGGCTGATACTTGGTTAAAAAATTTTTAAATTCAGGATTTTCACTTTGTCTTTCTACTTCCTCCTTTAAAATTCTCCCAGTCTCATCTTGTCTTTGTTCCTCCTCTTGTTGTTTTCTCTCCTCTTGCTCTCTCTGTCTTCTCTTTTCTTCCTCTCGTCTGAATCTCTGAGCATCTTCAAACATCTGATTACTGTAATGTCCTCCTCCTTTCTGCTCTATCATTGAGTCAGTCTTCTGCAGAAGATCATTCACCTGCTCTCTGCTATTCTGAATTTCATTGTTGAAGACGTGAAATCTGCCAAGTAGATGTCTTAAAGCACAGTTCTCCTCAGTGAGGTTCTCTATATTTTGTCCTTTCAGCTGATCTCTGTGAGTGAAGAGAATGATGGAGTATTGTAACACGTCCTGACCAAACATCATCTCAATCATCTGAGGAATCTGCTGCTCCTGTTCAGTGAATCTGTCAATTACTCTGAAGACAATGAGAAATGCATGAGGTCCAGGACTGGATAAATAAACACTTCTTGCTATCTCTGTCATTAACTCTTCAGGTTTCAGTTGTGTGTCAAAGAATCCAGGAGTATCGACTACAGTCACAGATCTGCCTGAAACAGTGGCGTGTTTCTCTGAACATTCACAGGTTACTGAATTAATTTTCAGCACAGATCTAAACTCTTTCTTTCCCAGTATTGTGTTTCCAGCTGCACTTTTCCCAACACCACTTTTACCCAGAAGAACAATCCTCCTGCATGAGTGACTTGAGACGGGAGCGTCTGGTTCATTACGAGTGTTTGGACTGACATGAATCCGTCTGAGTCCTCCTCCATCTGATGATTTATATAAAAAGAAAACAGATGTAAGTAGTCGTTTACAGGACAACCCTTCAAGAAAAAACACCATGATAGAAAAAAACACCAGTGATCAAACTAACAACTTTCCAGTTAACAGTCCTGAGCTTATATATTAGCTTATATATAGCTGGATTTTATTACAGGTCTGTAAACTCAAACCTGCTCATTTCAAAACCGGTGTTATTAGGGTGAAGCAAAGTTATTATTTGCAGAATTTGACAGAGTTTTACAATTGCGGTAGTCTAATCAAGAAATACATGTTTTGTTTTGTTTTTTTGCTATTTTTAAGCACTTTCCTGGATGTTGTTAAGAACAATGGTCAATTATTGTTGTTTTTATTGTGATTCATAAAAAGCTGATTGATTGATTGATTGATTGATTGATTAACCATCCTGAAACCTTTGTTGGGTAGCTCAAGTTAGTATAGTGCACCTCTGTTGTAGGCTATACTTGCAGAAACATTTTAAAATGTGACAATTGAGTTGATAATTCAGCTGGTTTGTAAACATATTAATAATAATAACAGAATAAAATGAAATTGATAATTACTTCATCTGTATCACAATCTTATGCACTTAGTGAAGCAGTACTGAGATATACTCATAAGTATAAGATAAGACTCACCCTTTACTCCAAAAGATCTCTGGAGAATTTTTACTAGCAGTAATCGAGCTTGGTCACTATGTCCTTTTATCTTGTTGTTGAACACATGGTATCGCTGATCATATTTCTGAATGAGTTTCTTCAGTGCTTCAGTCTCGTTGATGAATTCATTTATGGTCTTGTTTTCCTCTTGTAGTTCGTCTCCTCTGGTGAAGAGAATCCAGGTTTTTTCCAAGTGTTTTTCTCCCAGCAGCTTCTCAATCTTCTCCACAGTTTTTATCTCTTCTTCAGTGAAACTATCAGCTTTGATAACCAGCAAAAATGCACAGGGACCAGATTCACATTTCAGGAGAACCTTATCCAGTATCTTCTGAATCTCTTCTGTACTCATCTTTGGGTCATAGAATCCAGGTGTGTCATAAACAGTGACTGGAAACCCATTAACAGTCCCAGATTTCACAGCTACATCTCGAGTGACTGATTTGGAGCTTTTCTCTGACATGAAAACTTCTCGTCCCAGTATTGTGTTTCCTGACACAGTCTTCCCAGCTCGTTTTTTCCCCAGTAAAAGTACGTTCAGTTGTGCATTTGATTCCATTTCTGATGTGTGGCCTAAAAAAAAAAAAAAAACTCTGTAAAAATCTGTAATATATAAGAAACATGTAACAACATTTTGCAATAGACATCAGAGAAAAATCTGAATTCTTACCACACTGATGTTCACTGCTTTCCAGCTCTTTTTTCCTTATTGATGCAGTGTTGAACATCTCTCCAGTGTAGCTCTGCTGTTGATTCTCATTAAACAGATGCTCAATCTTCTTCATCAGGTCTCTCATCTTTGATTGGTTGTTCATCATCTTGTTGCAGGTCTGATATCTTCCTCCACATTTCTCCAGCAGTTGCTGCAGATCTGGGTTTCTCTTCAGATCATCTTTTATAGTGTTACACTCTTTTTCTCTCTCATAGGTGAAGAGAATCATCACAAACTGAAGAACTTTGTCACCAAACACTCTCTGAAGCCATTCCAGACTCATCTTATCATCATTGGTTAACTGGCCCAGTCGCACGACAAAGATGAAGACATGGATTTCATTTTCATTTACTAGCTGTTCAATGTGATGATCCACACAGTCCAGGTAAAGTTCAGCCTCGTGTAAGTCAATCATGTTGAACACAGAGATCTGGCGTTCTGATATCTTCTTCTGTAAAGGATTGATCCTGGATACTTCAGTGTTTTCCATATGTGTCTGTTTTTCTCCAAGTAGAAGGTTTTCATGTCCAAACTGGACTGATGAAGAGTTTCCAAATAGCACAATGGACAGACTGGGAAACTTATAGCCTAGAATAGATAAATAGATATAGTGATTTGTTGTTAAACACATCAATAAACTGCAATGTAAGTCTTTTTACAAAGAGTTTTTTTTGTTTTGTTACTGATGCTGCTGTCTGATAAATCAGAGTCACACTGTTGTTCAATCTCTATAAATGAGTCCATGGTATAATCTGGATTTGAAACTGTCATTATATAACTGGAAAATAATATTATAAACAACAATAAAAATAAATAAATAAACAACTATAAGAAATCATATCAATCTCTAAAATCTCAGCCCTGTTACTCATAGAAAAACTAACAGGACTGACTAACAGTAACATGAGTGAGTAGTGTCCTCTGGTGAAGTGATTTATCAGTGTAAATATTAGGCTACATCCTTATTAATCGAAATAAATTTAGATTTATTCAGAAAGATCTTTCCCCCTACATTTTGACTTTCCACCCACACTAAAACAATGCTTATGTCCTGTGAAAACTGAGCTTTTTACAGACTCTCTCCCACAATTTGACCCATATTTGTTTTTGCATTATAGTGTGGACTTTGAAAATGAATGTATTTAAAAATAATGGTGCATATTAAGTCATGTGCTGCACATTCTACAGATAGATATCTCTGGTCGTCACGGTACAATCCTGCAAGTGTGACAGAAAAATTACCCACAACTGTGATCACCTGTGAAAAAACAATATGGAAAATTCCTTCATATTAAAGGGGTCATATGATGCTGCTAAAAATAACATTATTTTGTGTATTTGGTGTAACAGTCAAAGGACCCTATTTTTTATTTTATTTTTTTTTACAGATTTTTCTTAGTGTTATTACTTAGAGTGGGATATTTTGCTAATAAAATAATAATTTCAATAATGAGAACTTTATGTCTGGTCTATCATCTTAGTAAGATTTTATTATATTTTATGCATGCACAGTAAAGTGATTTACTGTAAGCATTTTTTAGACATTTCAGTGTAGACAAGCAACTTCTGAAATACACTAACGTAGACAGAGAGAGTTTCCAGACAAAATGCAATTTTTTGGATTAATGTGGATGTAGCTGATCCTTAGTTAATGTAATACTATTCACATAAATTTTGAAGTTCCCCCTTGGTAGAAATTGCAGGAGCCCCCTGTACTCAATCCTACCTTTCCTTTCAATAGCAAAGCCCCTGTTTCCAGGTATGGCTAAAGAAAATACGGATGAAAACATTACATGTATTTGGCCGAATACTACTTATCAGGTCACAGAGGTTAATGTAACAGTGTAACAGTACATTGCCAAAACTATTGTGATGTGTTATTTATTGCAGTGGACGTGTGTTAGGCACATAGTCAAGGTTGTTCATCTGAATGGCAGTGACTGGGGCCCATGTATTTGAAGATGCATGAGATTCTGGGTTTTATTATGCAGAAGAACATGTAGAGAAGCCATACTACAAGAAGCCAGAAACACTCACCCATGGAAGGCTGCACGGGAAGGAGCGAGATATATCCACTCCCCTCTCTGTGTCTCTCCCTCCATCTCGCTTTAATTCTCTGTCCACCTCCTTCACTGTACATAATTGTAAACACAAAGAACATTCCTTCAACACAGAAATCTCTCTGTTACACACACACACACACACACACACACACACACACACACACACACACACGCACACACCTAGATGCCCTAACCCTAATCCTAACCCACACTCTAACCTTACATTTTTACAGTGAACTTAGCCGTCATTCACATAACCCTCACAGAACATTTGCAAAACACTAGATTTAAATAAAAACATGATTTTGCAGATTCACAAGCCTTTTTAACCAGTGAGGTCTGGCTCACTAGACAGTGTTTAACAGGTTTCACTATTAGTGAGGACATTAAACACCTCACAAATGTAGTCAAACCTGTATACAAACAAACATTCCTGTTACCCTGTATGTTTATTTCTGTTACTAAATAATTTTTCTTAAAAAAAAAATAATACAAAAAAAAATACACATGAGTTTTGGTAACAGGACTGATAAAAATACATGTTCTGAATAATAAAATATATATGTTATGAGATTCAGTTTGGAAAAAAAGAAAAATTAATTAACTTTTATTTGGAAGAGTTACAACAAAAAATGGCACCCATTCGGTGCAATGGCCCAAAAATTCCAACATATTTTTAATTAAAAACAGTAGTTTGCATGACTGGATCCCAAAGAATACAATTCAAATAAAAATAACAAAATAAATAAGCTAAACGTCTACACAATCTCAAATTTATTAAAAATCTCTGTAGAATAAAATAAGTCCTTTACAAACAAACAAACAAACAAACAAACACTAAATAAACAAACAAACAATAAATTAATAAATACATAAATAAATAAAAATCACAGTCCATCTAATGCACAGAAAAGACATTAGAATTAAAACAGGCTTGCAAACATTTGAGCTGCGAACTTGACCAATGGGGTGATGGGGGGTTTGGAGGAAACATTAAAAAAAATTAAATAAAAAAACAAGCTAAACCTGTAGAACCAGAGTTTTATCTGACATCTGTACATGCCTAGTAGGTAAAGTCATCATGATTGGGACAGTTTTCTTTATTATAAAATTATGTAAAATAAAGTTGTGATGATTAGGACAGTTTTCTTTGTCATGAAATTATGTAAAATAACTGTTGCAATGCTGCAGAACAAATAACTTCACAACAAAAATAGCAATGCACAGTGCGAAAACTGCAATATTTGCTTTTATAAATTTGATTTTCATACAAAAATCCATATATATGTGTTTGTGCATATATATATATATATATATATATATATATATCTTGACATAGATATACTCTCTATTATGTAAAATAACTGTTGCAATGCTGCAGAACAAATAACTTCACAACAAAAATAGCAATGCACAGTGCGAAAACTGCAATATTTGCTTTTATAAATTTGATTTTCATACAAAAATCCATATATATGTGTTTGTGCATATATATATATATATATATATATATATATATCTTGACATAGGGATACTCACTCTGATTCTGACGACAGCTAGTCTGCTTTGCAAATGCACATCAGGCACAAGAATATTCTTCATCTATTGAATGAAAATGACAGAAACGAGTGGAATCACAAAACTACAGTTTAGTTATATACCTACTACATTAAGATAGTGAATAGAATTAAGTTATCTGTCAGTCTGCTAAGCTTCTGAGTTCCAAAAAGCAAAAGTCCTGTGCTAGTCTTTATGTAGACATGCAAAAAAAAAAAAAAAAGTATATGTTCCTTTAAATCACATGACATCATTCTTTCAGGCCACAACAGGCTACATATCTCAAGAAACTATAATGAATGTAGGCAGCACAGAATGAGGAAGTGAGCTCAACATTCCAAAACATATAACATGCTCTTCTTCTCTGCACAGCATCAAGTTCAAAGCATGTGTAACTTAGTGGGCCTTTTACCTAGTAGAAAATTGTACAATGTATGATGGGCACAGACTAATAATTCAGATTGTCCTCAAGGGTGTCTTTACTTTTAGTGTACAGTATATTATCTAATAAGTATCTCTAGTCTCTTTCTGTTCTTCAATATATATATATATATATATATATATATATATATATACACATTTACATCAATTAATTTTGAGGATTAATATCTGAGATAAATATTAAACTGCATATAGACAATTTATTGAGTTTCTGGTCACATGATTTGTTGAAGAGGCATCTGATCTCAAACTCCACATCAACGCTGCTGCTATAGCCTCAACACACGTTTACTATTTATCTAAATGAGGACATCATATAGACTTCTATTGTTTTTAGATACAGAGAGTTATGGATTTTATAAGCTAATCCTACCCCTTACAAAAAAACTTCCTGCATTTTTACAAAAAAAAAAAAAAAACTTTATTTTTATACCTGTTTTACAAATGAGGACATTTCCAAAGGGAGGTTTTTGGAGATTTTGTCAACAATGCATTGCATAACAATGTTTGGCAGCAATGTTATCCGTGGCCCATATGTCTCTCCAGGATTCAGCAAAAGTCGATTTAGTCGATTTTAGATATATTTCTGGATGTTTCATATGAAGAAGGACCCAACTTCATTCTCTACTTCAGTCAGACAGACAGAGAGACAGACAGACAAATACATTCGCCAAGGTTTAGGTGGATATTTTAAACACGAGTACAAATTATCTAAAACATTTTCGTCGCCGCGGGTCTGACACGTCGAGCCGCTGTTTCGCTGGAGTTACTGAGAGTCACAGCGCCTCCTTCCGGAGACAAACAGCAGCACATTATACGGAAGTGAAAGTGAAAGTATGCGGCAACAGTTCTGACATTTTTTTGAAGCGCATTATCTGACAGAAAACATTTCTCCTCAACTATGTTTCTTTTGTCCTTCTGAACAAGTTTTCCTCCACAAACAAAACCGTCAAGACTGAAAATAAAGATACTGTATTTGTAATGCATATCAGTCCTGTGAGAGACTGGCCTATCCGGCAGATGTGAGAGTTAAAGAATAAGTAGTAGTATATGATTTTCTTTATTTCATGTCTTATTAAATTGTCGTAGTATTTCACACAGAAAGCTATTTCATTTCATATGACGTTATTGTCCTTGTAATGATTAGTCATAAACATGACCAGATCTAACTGAATTTCAGTCGACAGCAGTGGCGGCTCGTGGGTTTTAAAATAGAGGCGGCACACTAATTGTATTGGTCTGGGGATCCCGCCGATTATTATTATTATTATTTGCTTAACCTCTTTAAAATGGCTTTTTGGTTGCTTTTAGTCAGAAAACGTAAAGAAAACGACATACATACAGCATATCGCTACTCATAAGTACTTGGTACATTATCAGCGCAGCGGCAGACGTTCGAACTAATATCAGGTAATTTACGTCTCTATGATGACTGGGTGATATCAGGAGGTTAGCCTCCCCCATGAGGGTTCTTTTCTCAACACTCCTCAGCGCTGAAAGTGAACACTCGATGCTGATTGGCTAATTTTTGTTACCAACGGAGGCACGAGAGCTCAGCTCTCCCCAGGCCTGCCCCTCCCCTTCTCTATCATTAGCGGTCGCAATTACACCAACAGATTCGGCACATTCGCGATAGAAAAGCGGCGCTTTCACGTTATTTTATTACAACTGAAATTAAAAAAAAAAACAAAAAAAAAAAACATTGAGACAGGAACTGAAATGAATTGTGAATTTTATTAACATTAAATCGTCCTCCTCCCATTTTCACCTCAAAATTATGGGGAAGCTGTGCCTCCCCTGACGAGCCGCCACTGGTTGACAGTCTCCTATGGGACAAACTACATGAGATAGGGACCTAGGCCTACATAAACACTCTTAAAACACTCTAAGACTTAAATTTAGACTCAAAGTCTACAAACCAGCAGTTTTAAGACAGTTGGCATACAACCAAGATATCCATTATTAAAATCAAATCACTAAAGAGTATGTATGAGTTGTAAAAAAAAAATAAATTAAAAAAAAAAAATAAAATAAAAAAAAATCACAAAGCATGACAAAAGTGACAAGTGATCTCTGCATGTCACTCATTGATGGTGGCTGTGGACGAGCCCCGAGGACCGTTTTTCTTCAGCTTCTTCATGATAGACGCGTACTGCTTACTCCTTTCCTCCTCAGTCAGCCAAGATGGATTGATCTCCAGGAATTTATATGCATCTTTTGACTGAACGCTGAAGACGCCCTGCGCTCGCTGAGAGCATGCACCAAATCTCTGCCAGTACTGAAAGATTAATGACATGCCAGCATTAAACACCGTGACACAAACTCCTGTTGGCTGAAATCACTCAATATTGCCTACATAGTGAAAGTCCCATCACTTCAATAAACTTCAATAAAAGGAGCTCCATTGATAAATCATTTATAATAAACACTGCAATGTCACACACAAAAAAAAAAAAAAACACTGTGCATTTCGTGGCATTTTGTTCACCGAAAAATGCAAATTGTCATTAATTACTCCAAACCTCTAAGACTTTCGTTCATCTTGGGAACACAAATGAAGGACTTTAGTGAAATCTGACAGCTTTCTGTCCCTCCTTTCAGTTAGACTCTGCAACTTCCAGAACAGGAGTAAGAACAACATTAAACAATCAATGAGACTCCAGTGGTTTAACCTTAACAGTTAGATTATTAATTTACAAAATGTATTTCTCCAACGTGCATTCATAAGAGCATCTACCAAGTTAAACTTTGGTTTAACTGCAATTTTATGGAAAATACTGTCGCATGGTCACATGGAGTACTTTAGTAATGCATTTATTGCTACGTTTCTGGGCTGTCAGTGGTGGAACAGAAATCTCTCAGATTTCATTAATTTCATTTGTCTCATCAAACATTAAAAATGTTAACATCTGGGAGACAGAAGAGCAGACATACAGATAAATCGTAAAATGTGTAACGCAAAAGAGAGCTCAATCCAGTCTGGTTTTCTGTTGCCCACAGAGAGCCACCTCTCAGTGCACAAGTACTGAATTGAGCACTCTTTTGCACTTGAATGGAATGAAAACAAAACAATGGTGAGTATTCATGTAACACAGTCAATCATGTCTTAAGTGAACAAACAGTTAGGAAAATAACAGATGTGTATCAGTATATAGAGTGCAACAGCTGGGTTCTATTCGATTGCTTGTACCGTCCTCAATTGTAAGTTGCTTTGAATAAAAGCTTCTGCTAAATGATTAAAATGTAAAACATTAAACAGCACAACAGTCCAACATTGATAATAAATGAGCATTTTAGAATAATTAGAATGATTTCTGAAAGATCATGCAACACTGAAGACTGGAGCAATGGCTGATAAATTCTTCATCTTTGATCACAGGAATAAGTTACATTTTAAATGCATATTAAAACAGAAAACCATTATTACCATTGGTAATAACATTTAACAGTATTACCGTTTTTTTTTTTTTTTTTTTTTT